ATTTGATCCTTAGCAAAGTGTGAATAGTATAGTATTGGCCATATCTGATGATAGATGTTTACAGACAATGACAGATCACAAACCAAACACATCACAACTTCATGAATTTACAGCCAGGTAGGCCAAAAAAGATGAAAACATTTTTCACTTCTAACTTTATTTCTATTTAACAAGTTGACATTTAAATGTAAAGACACTAAACTACTACTCAGTAGCATTTGCCGTAAAGCAATAATGTCAATCAGGTTTGGGCACATCCTCGATAATCTCCATGATATACGTTACGATCACTCTCCACTATACCCTGGATACATCCACGGTTTGGCCCCATAATTATATTACCTCCCTTTGCTGGCTCTGCATTCTCACAGCAGCCAGTCAGATAAGCCGACGTTACATCCGAGCTTGACAGTGTCAACAAAGATAGCGGTCGCAGTCGCGAATGTTTGTTCGCAGTACCACTCAGCATTTGGGGATATAATACAGACAAATTGACAGATCAGAAACTTTCAAAAAATATATAAAAGAACTCCTTCTACATCTTTCAGAGTACCTCTGCATCAATTGTGTTACCAAGTTTAAACGGTTAGATAATTTAAGAAGCGAAAGTGAGTTGTGATTGGGTCGCTCAACTTCCCAGCGTAGACACCTGACTGGATAAAAAGCTAGCCAAGGGAGGTAATAAAATCATTGGGCCAAGACGCGGATGCATCCAGGGTATACTGTGGAGAGTGATCGTAACGTATACCCTGGAGATTATCGAGGATGGTTTTGGCACAGATTTAATGACATGTTTGTTCTCTGCATGAATGGCATTCATTAAAGCTCCTGCCTGTATGATGTGTTACAACAAGTGTCTTATGATGTCAATACAAATATAATATCTCTAACTTAAAAAGCAACATTCGTAAACTGTGGAGCGAGTGAGTGAGTTTAGTTTTACGCCACTTTTAGCAATATTCCAGCAATATCATGACTGGGTACACCAGAAATGGGCTTCACACTGTACCCATGTGGGGAATCGAACCCGGGTTTTCAACATGACGAGCTAACACTTCAACCACTAGACTGACCCACCGCCTGGTAAACTATTGAGAAATAACACACAGCAGTACAAGTTCTGATGATGATGGCAGGAAAATGTGGATGTTGTGACAAACAATGCTGAAAACTCAAAAACACACGGTGATCTGCAATGTTCCTATATATATTTTACAGCATATTCTTGAAGGAAAAGATGAACACCAGGTATTTCATCAACAAACTCAACACTGTTTAGCTTACATGGGTTTATGGCTGTAATCCACCAGCTGTGATCTCAAAGCTTTGTGTTTACTGCATCCCTTGAAGCTTGACATAACATTTAGTTTTTTCTTCACACTTCAATCAGTGTGCTTACAAATGGACTTTTATTACTAATATTCTGTTAAATGCCTCATGAAATTCTGGCATCTATTATGACTAAAAAATAAGTAAATCAGGACAAGTCAAAACCATTTATAGAAAACAAGAATAAGTCATCAATATCCACCGCAATGGCAAAATACTCTTCATGAATATGTCTACGAGTTATGATTATGTCAAATGTTTTGGTGTGTATATAAAAAAAATTGAAGGAGAGTATTGAAAGGTTTTGAAAGTTCTGCTTCAGAAAGGAGCACTACCACCAGTTTCAATCTAAGTCAAACTTGTTGCCATGGAAACGCCAAAAATATTTAATTCAGAATACCAAAACTACCAAAAGGCACCAGTACACCACCAGATGTATGTATGTGCCAAGTTTGGTGAAGAAACACTGAACGGTACCAAAAGGCACCAGTACACCACTAGACCAATCTATGTGCCATATTTGGTGAAGAAAAACGGTTTTAGAGTTCTGCTCTGGAAAAGAGCACTACCACCAATTTCAGTCTAAGTTAAACTTGTTGCCATGGAAACGCCAAAAAATACTTAATTCAGAAAACCAAAAGGCACCAGTACACCACAAGACCAATCTAGGCGCCAAGTTTGGTCAAGAAATAGTGAGCGGTTTTAGAGTTCAGCCGTGGAAAAGAGCATTACCACCAATTTCAATCTAAGTCAAATTTGTTGCCATGGAAACACCAGAAATATTTTATTCAGAATTCCAAAACTACCAAAAGGCACAAGTACACCACTAGACCAATCTATGTGCCACGTTTGGTGAAGAAATAGTGAACGGTTTTAGAGTTCTGCTACGGAAAAGAGCACAACCACCAATTTCAATCTAAGTCAAACTTGTTGCCATGGAAACGCCAAAAATATTTAATTCAGAATACCAAAACTACCAAAAGGCACCAGTACACCACCAGATGTATGTATGTGCCAAGTTTGGTGAAGTAACACTGAACAGTTTTAGAGTTCTGCTCCAGAAAAGAGCACTACCACCAATTTCAGTCTACGTCAAACTTGTTGCCATGGAAACGCCAAAATATTTGATTCAGAATACCAAATCTACCAAAAGGCACCAGTACACCACCAGATCTATCCATGTGCGAAGTTTGGTGAAGAAATAGTGAACGGTTTTAGAGTTCTGCTCCAGAAAAGACAAACGCATGCACGCACAGACAGAGTCCATTTTAATATCCCCCACAACATGTTTTGCAGGGGATAACAAAGAATTAAATATATTTTTACCAAATACCAAAGATGCCATAACATGCAAAGTCTCTATTTCTTCTCCTATTATTCAGCTGAAATGATCTTGTAAAATTTCCTTCATTTGTGAAAATGACAGACTTGGCACACTTGAAACAACTTACGAGTGGTCCTTGATGCAGGAAGGTATATGGAAGAGGTACCGGACTGTCTGCCTGTGAACTCTGAAGCAGGACAACATGGAAGAGGTACCAGACTGTCTGCCTGTGAACTCTGAAGCAGGACACAACATGGAAGAGGTACCGGACTGTCTGCCTGTGAACTCTGAAGCAGGACACAACATGGAAGAGGTACCGGACTGTCTGCCTGTGAACTCTGAAGCAGGACACAACATGGAAGAGGTACCGGACCGTCTGCCTGTGAACTCTGAAGCAGGACACAACATGGAAGAGGTACCGGACTGTCTGCCTGTGAACTCTGAAGCAGGACAGTATATGGAAGAGGTACCGGACTGTCTGCCTGTGAACTCTGAAGCAGGACAGTATATGGAAGAGGTACCGGACTGTCTGCCCATGATCTCTGAACTCTGAAGCAGGAGGTACTTGACAGTTTGAGAGTTCTTTCTGAAGCAGGACAGTATATGGAAGAGGTATGGGACTGTCTTGACACCTGCCGATCTTGAGTATTGTGCTAGTGTGCGGGACAGTAAATGGAAGACGTCAGGGCAGATATTTACACATTGGCAGAGTATATCTTCTCTAATGCTAAAAAATGAGTATCATACGGAGGCTTTTTGCTATTACGTGCTACCTTAGAGATAAAGACCAGTCCCAGAAACAAACATACCCAATACAGTCCATTCCAGTCTAGAACATGTGGCAAGTCTAGATTACCACAGTTTCAGGATGAAAAGAGAGGGCTTCTGTGTCTGGGCTCCTTCTTATTATGATCAAATGATAAATTAGGAATTGTATTTTTCTGTAAAATATGTCAATTTCACAGATTACCGGTAGATATTAGTCTAGGATCTGGAAGACTCCAAACTCTAAATAACAATTTGTTCAACTGAATATAACCATTCAGTGCTTCAGTGCTATTTAATACAATGTTAGGGTAATATGACTGATGTGTCATTTGAACCATACTTAAAACAACGAAGCTATGGTGTCAGATGGGTCCCGTGTATCATAACAGAATGATGATAACGAGGATGATTATTAGGGGTGGAACGGTACACGCTCTTACCACTGTACGGTATTGATTATTAGGGGTGGAACGGTAAACTTTTACCACAGTACGGTATTGATTATTAGGGGTGGAACGGTACACTCTTACCACAGTACGGTATTGATTATTAGGGGTGGAACGGTACACTCTTACCACAGTACGGTACTGATTATTAGGGGTTGAACGGTACACTCTTACCACAGTACGGTATTGATTATTAGGGGTGGAACGGTACACTCTTACCACAGTACGGTATTGATTATTAGGGGTGGAACGGTACACTCTTACCACAGTACGGTATTGATTATTAGGGGTGGAACGGTACACTCTTACCACAGTACGGTATTGATTATTAGGGGTTGAACGGTACACTCTTACCACAGTACGGTATTGATTATTAGGGGTGGAACTGTACACTCTTACCACAGTACGGTATTGATTATTAGGGGTGGAACGGTACACTCTTACCACAGCGGTATTGATTATTAGAGGTGGAGCGGTACGGTATTGATTATTAGGGGTGGAACGGTACACTCTTACCACAGTACGGTATTGATTATTAGGGGGGGTGGTAGGGGGAACGGTACACTCTTACCACAGTACGGTATTGATTATTAGTGGGTGGAACGGTACACTCTTACCACAGTACACTCTTACCACAGCGGCATTAGAGATTACTTATTTATTATTAGGGGTGGAACGGTACACTCTTACCACAGTACGGTACTGATTATTAGGGGTGGAACTGTACACTCTTACCACAGTACGGTATTGATTATTAGGGGTGGAACGGTACACTCTTACCACAGTACGGTACTGATTATCAGCTTTTCATTTTATACACACTACTTTACATACATACAATGAAACACCAGGTTAATGTGTTTGCTAAAAATATACATCCATGATTGTGATTTAAGCTGAAAATATTCTATTAATAAAACATAATTGTGACATTATCAGTCTTGCTGACCACCACATAAATATTTTATATGAAATTAGTAAAACTGGAGAATAAATTCTTTCTTAACATCATAAAATAAGGAAAGACCAATATTCTTGTTTTATATATTCATTGCTGATGGGAAAAGAAACAAATCATCTGAAAGATCTCCTTGACACTAACAACACAGATACAAATGAAAACAGTTTCAAAATAACAGAAACACAGAATTTAATAAAACTCTAATTTTTCCATAATCTCCAATAGAAGAATAAAACAAATTAGTCTGGGAGGTCAAAGCCTCAAGTAGGATTTGTTCTCGTAGGATACTAGTTTCAGCAGATTCAGCAGTTTGGAATTATGTTTTTAACATTTGTAACAAATATTCGTAACACTCACAATCTCAATGTACATTATACACATTTTCAATCCATTTCTATACGCCAGTATGTAGGGGAAAACAATTAACAAACAAATGAGTGTTCCAATACAACCTTGATGAATGAGATATATGAATGAGGTCAATTAAAGTTCATTTATTGCTTTCATTTATTGAAACTAAATTTGGGGAAAAAGTGTTTAATATTAAACTGTCAGTTTCTTGAGCCAACGAATAACCACAGGATTAGGAGAATGCTCAACCAATGAGACACCATGTCTACGATGAGCTCCACATTCTTCATTACTCATGAAAATAAATCCACATCCTCATCCTCTCCCACCGTATTTTGTTGAATATAGGATAAAATATCGTCACTACTTAAACCTGATTTATCTTGTGTTTTTTCATCAGATTCAGGCTTGCTCTCTGTCTTTGGTTTGACACCTGGTTTGGGTTTGAGACCTGGTTTGGGTTTAAGACCAGGCTTAGGTTTGAGACCTGGCTTGGGTTTAACTGTGTCAGCTTCTCCTGTTGTCTCTTCTTGTTTCTTCTTTGACTTCTTGGTGATCTCCGTTTTCATTAAGTGTTGAAGATCCTCATCAATTCTGAAAAAAGGGTACTATGTTGATTAACATTTACTGCTTAAAAACATGAACACTCTGAAAGGAAACACATGCCATGAACTGCATGAAGAAACACTGCATATTTCAGTATTCAGTATTTGCATATTTCAGTATTCAGTTCATTCAGTGTAAACCATACATGAACATAATGAGTGAGTGAGCGATTTCGGTTCATTGCTTCTTTGAACAGTATTTCTTATATATTTCAGTGTCAATTAAACGTAGGAGAAATGGTACTATCAAACCTTGAAACACAATCAGTGTGAACCTGAATGGGAAACCATGATCTTTTAAGATGGACCAAAAATCAGAATGTTTCAAGTATAAATGTCATCGTCATTTTGGGAGGGTTTTGATGCGCAAATGGGGTCAGTGGAGTGATGAACCAAAGTACTGAAAATAATGACACTCTCATAATCCCTGTAAAATCATCCAGGTTAGAACTGATCTTCAACAACCCATACTTGTATTAAGGAGTGACTTACGGGATAATTCAGTTGCAATAATTAAACTGTGATCACAAGTTCACTAGCACCCCATATGTCCATAAACTAACACTTTACTTTCTATTGAGTTGCTTACTGAAATAGTGAGGGATCTGTTTCATCTGTGCTAGCAGGTACAGTGACAGGTTTATCAACAACAGCATCAGGGAGGAACAGTGAGGCATCTTCTTCTGTTATCCCTCCACCAAAGTCTTGTGCTTCAAACAGCTGAGTTGATGCTACAACACCACAATCCCAGAATGGATTCTTGTTATACATAACCACATGTCTAATACTTTTGGCAATTTATGAAGTGTATATGGGGCAAAAAAAATTCTTGTAAGTTTACATTTTTGGCCAATACAAACATTAGGATTTAATTTTTGAGCGGGTAAATTCATTTATATTTTATTTTCTTATTCTTGAAAAAATATGACCGTCGGAGTTGTAAAACAAGAAATAAAATTAGTCTGGCCTCAGCACTAAAAATACAATGGTAATAATACCATGCAGTTTTATTCATGTTATGTAGAAGGCAGGTCATGATAAAGGGAAGAATGGTGATAAGTGAAAATGATCACATTTTGAAATGTCCATGGGAGATAACTCTGACAATGAAAACCAAACCCATCAGAATGGAACAATAAAATGGGCAAACAGAATGAAATAATAAAATAATGAAATGAAAACAGAATGAAATAATAAAATAATGAAATGAGCATAAGGAGGTCCAATGACACCCCCGATACAAATACTTTTAGTTAAGTGTACCACGACCAACTCTGATCATAACTGTGTCTCTGTATATAATTTGGTGTGTTGGTTAACACCCACTAATCAATATTTCAGCTATATGATGGCAGCTTGTAAATAACAGCGTCTGGACCAGACAATCCAGTGCATGATGTTGGGAGAAACTCAAATTATTTTCTTGCACATCAAGCCTGGCCACTGTAGCTAGACCGTGAAAGGCTTGATCCAACTACTCAGCCCAGCAAGTGTATGACCTACTGTCTTCTCCTCCATCAGCTGTGTCCAAATCAGCAAACAGCTCGGCTCCCTCCTGCTTATCTTCATCATCAAACAAACTTGCTTCAGCCCTGCAAAACCAAATACCCAAATATGTGAACATTTGGCATCAAAATTCAAAACAATCACAAGTATGACTTATTATGAGGTTGTACATCATATCTGAAGTATAGAGGTGGTGAGCAATTTTGGTTTTACACTGCTCTTAGCAATAGTCCATCAATCTCACAATGAGCCTGAAATAGGCCTCACATGTAGGAGCCATTTGGTGAATTACTGAGAACCTGAGTCTTTGGTGTGACAAGCAAATAATGAGTGTGTGTGAGTCAGTTTACTGTTGGCCCCATAGCTACCCTTGATCCTCTACGTTGTCATCTTTCGTTTCTGTCTTCTCACTGCTGTCTTCAGCACCACCATCACTGATATCCCCTTTCCTAAAAGTCCCTGCTTTCATTGCGCCCACACCTGAAATCAGTCATACACACCACATGAATCTACCTGCATGCCAGGTAACACATACACCTAACCAAATGCCAGGTAACACATACACCTATCTAAATCACAGGTAACACACACACCTATCTAAATCACAGCTAACACATAAACCTATCCAAATCACAGGTAACACATAAACCTATCCAAATGCCAGGTAACACATAAACCTATCCAAATCACAGGTAACACACACACCTATCTAAATCACAGCTAACACATAAACCTATCCAAATCACAGGCAACATATATAGTATGACCAGAAAATATTGAGAATATTAGGAATATGTTTAATTGGATTTCTAGTATAAACAACCTTAACCAGCTATCAAGTGCTTGGTTTCATTCAAGAGAGACAACTCCGTTAATCCTTTTTCATTAGTTTGTGAAGAGTTATGCCCCTTTGTTTACTTGCTAGCAGACGACATTTTCAGTGATGGATGGATGATTTAGAGAAGAGGAAGTTGATTTTAGAGTATTATAACAAGGACAACAGATCAGCTAACATGATTTCAAGTAGAACAGGCATCCCTTTGTCCACTGTTTATCGTGTTTTGAAAAATATTGCAAATGGATATGGCATTGAGCACCAGGGAGGCGCAGGTAGGCCCAGAAAATTGACTGTCGGTGACAGGAGGCGGCTTGGTATTCTTGTTTCTAAAAACAAACGAAGGAGTTTAGAAAACTGAAGGCTGGATATGATTGATAGAGGAACTGTGGCTGTCTGTAAGGAGACAATTAGAACTGAGCTGCATGCAATGGGTTGGCAGAAAAGTCAAGGAATTCCATCACCGATCATGAAACCTGAACAAAAGGAGCGAAGGTTGAACTGGTGCTTACAGCATAGAAATTTTAACTGGGACAATGTGATTTTCTCAGATGAAAGTTCTGTGTGGCTGTTTCCTAATACACTGAAATTCTGGACCAAACAAACTAATAAACCTTTGTATCAGCGCCCAAAGTACAGTCCGAAATTTAACATGTGGGGTGGCATTTCTGTGTTAGGGGCAACACCCCTCTGTGTATTTGAAGGGAATATGAACAGTGACCGGTACACAGATATTCTCGAGGGACATTTACTTCCATCACGTGTTCTATGGAAATTTTTGGATTTTCCAGCAGGACAACGACCCAAAACATCGTTCAAAGCATTCACAGGCCTGGTTTCGGACCCAAAATATGACATTATTAGATTGGCCAAGCTATAGCCCTGACCTAAATCCAATAGAAAATGTTTGGGGACTTATGAAGGAAAGTGTCAATAAGAAAATCTGACTAATATTGCTGAAATGAAAGAAGAGGTGGTCCGATATTGGGACAGCATGGACCACGACTTTCTAACTTCTTTGATCAGTAGTATGCCCCGCCGCATTGAAGCCTGCATTGCTGCCCATGGTGACTTGACAAAATACTAACTGTTCACCTGCCTTTGAATCTGGAGTTATTTTCTGCTAATATTCACATTTAATACGTGAGTAATGAGTGAATTATTTTTAAAAATTACAATCTTTAAATTCTCAATAATTTCTGGTTGTACTGTACACATTTCTATTACAGGTTGCGAATATCTTGACAACATTACAAATTGTATCCTCAAGCAAAGGTATGAAACTGTTTCAGTTTGGAATGTTTAGATCATGTTTTGGGTATGCTGTGTCAACACAATTACTGTTTTCATTACAATTTCTTGCAATGGTATGTCATGTTTGATATTTTGATAAAAAGTTGACAAAGATAAAAGACAGGTCTGGTTTCTGTTGGCAATATCTTTTAAAAGTTAATCATAATTGAATTTCCTTCTAATATTTCAGTGACAATCCTGTGATCAGGTTATTATGTTAATTATGACATAGGTATTTCTTTGTTGTGTGAATTCTGAAAAATATGTTAATGCTATTTTTATAACATCAAAAATATGTTTCTAAATTTTGAAGATATTGTGAACCCCCCAAAAAACAATTTAATTTCACATGAAAGCCTGTATTTGTGGTGACATGGTTACCTAGGAACTCCAGTACAACTGAGGATGTGGCAACCTTTGGAACTGTTGCCAGGAATTTGAGGAAGTGCTCCAGATCGGCACGACGACTTCGGGCAGTAGCATCATTCATAAGGAGAACCTTCTTGGGCAGGGGAGGGAAGACAGTGCCAGAAAACTTCTCATTCAGTTTGTTGAACAAGTCCTCAAAGTCAGTAAACTTTCTTTCAACCTAAAAATATAAATAATATGCATGTAAGTATGCATGGCTTATTTAAAATTAACATAATAATTAAAAATGTAATCTCTTCCTGAGGGTTTAATATATTACAAATTAATTATAAGCAGAAATTTCCCTCTAACTTTGAATGTGAAAACGAGACATTATCTGCACACATTATAAAACATTCTAACATTATTTCTGTATGATTTTTGCAGTAGTCATAGGGTAGTAGTCTAGTGGTCATTCAACTGAAAACAGCAAATTGTAATGTGTGCATTTTCAGAAGCCTTCTTGGATGAAAATGTATAAATATGAATCTCAAATTTCCAAGTTATGTAGTGATAGTTACAACCAACAAGAACCAATGTTACAGCTTTGTAGAGTTGACTTCGACTTCACTGATGACAGGACCAATACAGTGCTTCCCAAAAATACTTCAGCACTTATTCTTTCATTACTGCAATGAATGCAAAGTTGAAATATCTCCTAAATTGATCAATTAAACCTTTAACAACAATTCCAAAATCTGAAATAAATTATTAGTTTTTCCCAATTAATTTGCCTGCCATTAGTGCCAAGGGCACATAGTTTGAAATTCTACATAAATGCATGTGAATCATTCTTAAATAAAAGTCAAGCACCCTTATAGTCAGTATGTCCCAGCAATAAGCTGTTTGATCTGGCCTAATGTATAAAATGACACTTGACCCATATTGCATTACACCTTTTCCAAATTTAAAATTCACATGGGTGATAACATCCATATTTTGTCAATCTGTGTTAAAAATAACAAATCTCTTCCCTTGCCTATTCCTCTGTGTTCAGACCAATGTGTACACAATTACCTACCATAAACTGCACAGTGTCTGATTCCTTGTGCTTGGGGGATTTGAAGAAAGTTAGATTGGAAACTGCAACAACTTGATAAATATATGTTGATGACAATAAACCAGAGATATGCTTGAATGTGGGCACGGTCAGATCAATCCCTGTGTCTTTGTTCTTCACCTCCCTACAACAAAAAATTGATTCACAGCATAATTAACTGTACTTTGAAAGTAGAAACGTGGGGGGGTTGATGAGGAAAACACATAGTAGTTCCCACAAAACTTCAGGTTAACCCATACTACATCATGATTATGATGATGGGTTAATCACATACCAGACAAGTCATTATGCTGATAAGTTCATCACACCAGACAAGATGACAGACCAGCTATATTGCACAGATATTGTTCACACAATGACAGAAAAAAATGCACATTGACTTCTTGACTACATGTATGTGGTACAGATGAAGATGACTGACTGAGTTTGGTTTTATACCACTTTTAGCAATATTCAAGCAACATCACGGCTAGGGGCACCAGAAAAGGGCTTTACACATTGTACCCATGTGGGGATTCGAACCCGGGTCTTTGGCGTGACGAGCCAACGCTTTAACCACTAGGCTACCCCACCGCCCCTACAGATGAAGTCCCTCAGATTAACTATACATACCTATTGAGATCCATCACAATTCACTACTTCCATCATACACCTTGGGTTTCTTTGCTATCAATTTTCGTTTGGATTAGACTTTTTACATCAAAAACAAAAAAACAAACAGATTTACGATACGTCTGATCTAAGAATATGTGTCTACGTGGGGTTGTAGTCAAATGGTAATGGTGATGATAATCGTCATTTATCATATTATCCTAGCAGGCGCTTTTGGTAATATCAACACAAAACCGTCCAAGTCTTATTTGATCGTACGATTCTAAATTCAACCTTCAACTCATTAAGTATTTTAATAAATACATTTGCTGACTACAGGGTGACTGCTACTGCTAGTGAGGCCAGCGAGTTAAAATTGATCATAGTGTTCAGCAGAAGTCAGCACCGCAGCTTTGCTACCTGACAGTGACTGTTGCAGTCGGCATGATTGGGTCCTACTCGTCTTGGAAACTCCAAATAGCTACATCCGCTTCTAGGCCTTGTTTTCCACCTTTATTAGATACTTATGCTAACACGCCCACATTTCAGGACTACCGCCATTTTGAACATCATGTGACCCGTAAGCTCCACACAGTGGTGTATATAGTAACTATGCCAGAAGTTTCATTCGGGTTAGGTTAAATGTGTGTTAGTTTGTTAAAAGGATCCCGGCCTATATACAAGAGAGTATTCTACATATATGTATGTATAACATACTGTTACACACAGGAAGTTACACGTTCTTTAAACAGCTCATTCCGTTTGGCTAGTGCATGTTTAATTAAAAGTGAAAGATTTAATATATGAGATTCGTCCTTAGTCATTACAATATATACGAAAGTTTACAATTACAAGCTTACAAGCTTACATCCCTGTCAAATAATCTTTAATGTATTTCTTCCGAAGGTCACTATAAAATCGACAGACAAACGCAAAGTGAAATTTCTATTTCTATATGGCATAACTGACAGATTTCTTTTCCATTTTTCAATGGAAAGTTTTCTTCCTTCATTTACAAAAAGGTCTAATAAACCTAGTCGATATTTACTAAAATGTTTCCTTAAATGGTTCAAATTTTAAGATGCTCGCGAATTTGTGAAAGTTAACTCAAACTACTGAGAGAAAATGTCAAAGTTTCACAAACTCAATGACAATGTCGGGGACTTTGCAGAAAACGAGCAGCAGACAATGATGCATTGTCTGTTTTGGCACATCAGCCCCTGTCACTGTGTTGGCAACAGTCTTGATTTTTGTAAATGATAGCCCATTGCAAGTCTGACTTGGGGAGGTGGGGTAGTCTAATGACTAAAGCGTTCGCTCGTCACGCCGAAGGCCGGGGTTCGATTCCTCACATGGATACCATGTGTGAAGCCCAGTTCTAATGTGTCCCACGCCGTGATAGTGCTGGAATATTGCTAAAAGCGACGTAAAACTAAACTCACTCACTCACTAGTCAGACCTGGAGACCCTGAATTATATATACCCTATATTCCTCAATAATTTCAGGGAAAACTGTATGTTAATTTCAGAGACTATAGATGTTAGTCTAACTGTAATCTCTGTAAACAAAGTTTTGTTATTTATTCATGACACGAGTTAAAATGGAAATATGATCGGTTTTTCATATAAAGTTATCAGATAGTACCACGGGATGCTGAATATCCTCCCTGTCACATGCTTGGGAGAAGTGGTTGTCCGATTAATTGAAATAATCGAAGATTGGTCGCAATGACAAAATGACCAAGCAATCGATCATGTTTTCTCATAATCGAACACAAACAATTTTGGAACACTTCTTTGCAATAACAATATTTTTCAGAAGGTTGATTTTGTCTCTACATTGCATAAGCACTACAAGCTCGTTCCAAGTCATGATTAAGTTTATCTTAACAACTCCAGGACATGTATGTTCCTAACACACTAGTCATCCTTTAAAGATGTGAAATTGCAAATGCATTTTGTGCAATTTTTGAAAAAAACGAGAGAACTACATGCTTTTACTGCATTAACAAACATAACCAGGAAAATTTGATAAATGACGCTAACCAATTATTTTCGAGGATTGATCGGTTGTAATGGACCAATCATCAATTATGAGATTTACACCAATTCCCAACACTACTAGGGAGGCAGCTTTGCTCTGACGCATTCACTAATGGTTCGTGAGTGTTTCTTTATGTTAATGATTATATGGATAATTTTTTTGTTTGTTTCTTTGTTTAGGGGTTATTTTTTGTTAGTGCAGCAATACAATCCATAATGATAAGGCCGAGTTTTGATATAAGTAACTAGCTATAGCTTTTGAACTGGCATGCACAGTGCCAAAATATACTGGGTCGTTTTGTGATATATATTTATTTGAAATTATTGAGGAGATTTGGATGAACTTCCACCATGTCTCCCCTTATACGTGGCACAGAGTTGTACCCCTTGGGCATGTCAGAAACCCGTGATTGTGTTCGAATGCAGAGTAGCCCTGATTCTGTTTCGCCCGCAACATACACATGTTGGTTGGTTTAACCACAGTAACAAACATCAGAGTCCTGCATCAATTTGAGCCTTCCTCCCACATGAACATGTCAAGCCGAGAAATCCCCACATGGGTACAATGTGTGAAGCCCATTTCTGGTGTCCCCCGCCGTGATGTTGCTGGAATATTGCTAAAAGCGGCGTAAAACCAAACTCAGTCAGTCAAGCCGAGATGTTTTGTTTGTCAGATGTTAACACCCTACTCAGCAATATTACAGCTATATGGCGGAGGTCTGTAAATAATTGAGACTGACCAGAAAATCCAGTGATCAACATCATGAGCACCGACCTACACTATTGGGATGTGTCAACCAAGTCAGCAAGCCTGACCACCCAACCCTGTTAGTTACCTCTTACGACAAGCATAGGTTGCTGAAGATCAATTCTAACCCGGATATTCGCGGTTGTAAGTCGAGATGTAACTGCAATATACATGACATGACGTGTGTGTGTGTGTGCGTGTGCGCCCGCCCTTTAAAAAGTGTGGCTCTAAATCTCGAATCATTGTCACCCAAATCCTTGTTTTGAGGTCGACGGGTCCAAAAAACACAAATTTTGAAGAATCTGCTTTCATTTTACCTATGCCACGGCCAACTGAAAATGAAAGGTGGCGAGCCATTGGAATGCCTGAAACCGGAACTCCCCAGTGCAGTTTAACGTGCACAGGAAACCGGAACTCCCCAGTGCAGTTTAACGTGCACAGGAAGATGAAAAACACCATATGCCGCTTGTGGAGACGTTATCAACAGAACGTCGTCGTTGCAGACCTTCAACGAAGTGGCCGTCTTCCTGTAACCACGCCACACAACAATCCTTGAATTCGAACCACCCATCTGCACCCAACCCAAACATCCCAACCAGCCACTTTGACAGCCCGAACAGTTCCTGGTGTCAACAGGATATTGCCAAGAACCAGTAGTATACACAATGGGGCTACGGGACCAGGTACCCCCAAGGGCTCAATTTAAAAATTGAGCCCTTGGGAAGTCCCTAATCCCGTAGCCCCATTGTGTATACTACTACATGTACTGAGGTGCATGCAAAATTTGATGAAAATCGGTCGAATAGTTTCTGAAATATTGAGCATGGGGTCGGTCGGGAAAAGGCAAAATGTCCAACTTTTTGTCGTAATTAAGTCTTAATTAATCTAATGAAGTTATTGAGAGTGTTCCCAATGCCGTTTTGCTATAGCGTAACCATCTGCCGAGATGCATGCAAAATGTCACGAAAATCGGTCTAATAGTTTAGGAAATAATCATTTTTTAGTGAGCATGGGGTCGGTCAGGCGAAAGGCTAACAATCCAATGTATTGTCGTACTTGTTATATATTGAGGCGAGAGGTGTTTTTAGCTGAATAAAACGCTGGTCTCGGCAGTCATCACCTCGCTACCGTCTCGGGGGTTGCTTTGAGCGAGCGCCGTGGACGAGTATAAGTGTGAGCGTGTGTGTTTCGGCTCGGCTATGATGATGCACGGCCGGCTGACTAGCGAGGCTACAGATGTCTGAAAGTGAATGAAACGCATCTCTCGGCAGTTCCTCCCTGGGTCGCCTCGCTGCCAGCCAGCCAGTCGCAGTGTGTGTCTCGACTCTGTGTGTCTCGACTCGGCTTGTACAGCCGACCGTTATGTTGATTTCCACTAAATCATACGGCAGCTCTCCGCAGTTCCCCCGGGTCACCTCGCTGCCGTCTCGGTAGCATTGAGCGAGCGCTGTGGGCGAGTCGCAGTGTGTGGGTCTCACCTCGGCCATTCACCTACAGCTCGCTGAGTTGGCTGGCCGGCTGGCTACATTATGTTGTCCGCAAAACAGTTTATTGTGAATATCCTATGATTTGTTTGGTTTTCGGGCCTGTTGCTTCCCTTGTTCTATGCATTTTTTTCCCTCGTCTTCGCAAATGACGGCGTTTTTATGAGACTTGGTCCGAATCTCTTGTTTCATTCTGTGATATTTTGCAATTTCTGATAGCACCAAACAAAACTCTTCCTCGGAGATTTTAGAGTCGGTGAGCGCAGTGGAAATATGATCGTCTATCCTGTTTAACTTCGCTTCCGCTAGAATTCTAATTTCGTCGTGTTTCAATGCTTTACGTTGCAGTCTGCGAGATATGAACTTAAGGGTCAATCCGATCAACCCTGCCACTCCGGCTGTTATTTCGATGCCTAGCACCATGGGTGCGGCCACGATGGTGGATAATAACCGGATACCTGCTACGCCTAATCCCATGCTGACTGAAACCAGAGCGCTGTCAACACCGTCCACGGAATTGACGGCCCTGTGATATTTTTTCTGTAATGTCGACCGCGTATCGCGTTCACGTTCTAGTTGTTTGATCTTGCATATCTGTCGCAAATGAAACTCGTCTACGGTTTCAAGTGTTTTTGCTACTTCATCCATGACTGGGTACAGTCCGATCCTGTGTGTATATATATATTTTTTTATAACAATATATAATTGGTTTTCCGTTAATGTCCGATCGATGTATTTGAGGCTGATAAGGTTTAGATTATCGTACACTTAAATATTCGAGACATGAATCGAATTTTTTTCTATAACACGCATTCCATCGAGGCTTATTAAGGGTTTCGATCCCGGTCTTATGACGATACCACACCGTTGGTGATTGTGTCTGGTGAACAAGCGTATTGTCAACCCAGTCAAAAGTGTTCGTTCTGACCCACGGGCGTCTGCGAGACAGACATCTACTACGAGTATGGTGTGTGATTTGATAGTCAAATTTGAATCGAAAAAATCCCGTTGGTAATCGGGTACTTCAAACCGTGAATATGAAGCCACGTCGTTTGAAGCTAACATGTTGCCCGTGTGACCTGGTATTCATAAAACTTGTACATCATACTCTGGAGTGAAAGACGTGAGAAGAAACCCGTTGTTCGTAAGTTTGGAGACTTAATCATTGTTTTTAACAGATATGTGGGGTGAGATGAGGGTCATGTCGATCAACCAGTTGGGCTGTTTGAAGTCTGCTAGTGACACCCGCTCATATACGTTGTCTTTTAAGTGCAGGACGTACAAGGTGTTT